GTAAGCCAACGAGCAACCCTTTCCAATGAGCAAATGTTTTGGGGTTCACAATTTGAACAGAAAACCCCTAAACTGAACAATGCCTTCCTGAAATAACATCACAGCAAAAGTGCCCTCAGTTTTCCGGAAAGAAGTACACTTTTTAAGACAATTAACCAAAAAGGGATGTCAAATAGTTTTCATACATGAACATTTATGAGTAGGAAGTTGCACAAAATCACCTAATGGACCCAAACAAAGAAAACAGGTTTGTTACAGATATGTATACACCAGTTGATGAAAGTTATTAAAACAACAATCCATAACGTCGAATGTACTTCATTTGGGCTCCGTGCGCCAACGAAAGAGAGCACCCTTTTACTAGCAATGACGTCCCATGGGCGGGACATTTAGCTGGTTGACGTGCACCCCCCATTCCTTGTGTGTGACGCATGTACACCAGGGGATTTGTACTATGTACACGCAGTGGTACGGCCGCGCCTCGTGGCAAAATTCATGACATTGCAGTCAGGCAAGATGGCATCGGTCGGTCACCCCCAACTGTACTTTCTTTGCCGGTGAGGGGGTACTTGTGAACGGAGCGGATAGTCCCCGACAAAGCAAGATTATTTGGACCTTCATGTAAGTTTAGGACCGTTCATACTTCACCCGAAATCAAAGCAAATTTCATGAATCACCCATACCTATTAATTACTGAATTCGCTCCACGCCAACATTCGCATGAAGTATGAACCGGCGACATCAAATGACCTTTTTTCCTTGCCATGCAACACTGAATGCCAGGCGTTTCCAATGACACTTAAATATATCCTCTTTTTTTGTTTTTTTTCTCAATCTCCGGGTTCATACACTTTCTCTCCGGCAGAGGGGACTAATTACCGAGAAAAGAAGGCACACAATCTCCGGTTCTTACCCTCATATCACGCCATGATGACATTACCTTCAGACTTTTGATGACGATAATTTACGTAAGGTCTGATATGAACACATGCATTATACAACACCAGATCAATAATTGGATTGTTTTTCGAGGAAATGACAAGAGACAGTACAGAGGCTCAGTGAAGCACCAACAGGAAGTTGATTAATTGAGAAAACTAAAAACTAAAACCCTTTTCACTGGGGAATAAAATGTGAGATAAATGAGTTTCTAACAGGTGAGAGCTCCCCATATAAACAACTTTTAAATATACATAGATGCCATCGTCACAGCGGTAGAAATGTTATTTTGTAAAGATCAGGCATGAAAAAAAAAATTGGATATGGAAACATAGCAATTTAAATATGGTTAGGGAATATTTTTTGGAAAGTCTTTTTGCCTCATTTAACCTTTATACCGTAACTCCCAACTACATAACACTCTAAAAACAGATTGGTTGAAATAACCGGTAATTGGTTAAAACAGCCAAATATTAATAGATTGGTACTTCAAAATTAACATGGTAACACAAAATTCAACGCTGTGCGACCAAGGGTTGAAATGTGAATCCGTTACAATTACATTATTATCTTGGAATTTTTTGTTCTTCAAAACCACATGAGAAGACATGTTTTCTTTGGTAAAAAAGTTGCTTGCTCTTTGTCTTGGGGGTGGGAGGGGGGGGGGGGGGGGGGAGAGGGAAGGTTGCGGGGTTATGAAAACTTTTGATGGACCGTTACAATCCCCCGTTATAATACAATATAGATTTTAGGTTGTCATTTTTGGTATTTTGTTTTCAAAAGAAAGTGACTTAGTTACGTACATGATCCAAGCACATTCACCAATCATACAAATAATGACTCCCATCTATTTTGCCAAAATGGCAGATGTTTTTTCCCCTGAAAAGTACATGTATGTTATCACAATTCTTTGAAATATAATTTCAAAACTTTATATTTGTATGGAGACTTTTTATATATAATTGTTCACGCCTGTAGCTTTACACAAGACAGATTTTCAGTTGAAGGAGCTAATTTTTCACATATTTTCCCTACTGCACTGAAAAATGTAACAAACCATTGGTTGTTTGTTAATGCACGTACAAGTACAAACATCACAACGTTTCTTCATCATTTGTGAACTTTGTTAATGCAAAAAGTTGTAACACATATATTCTGAGTATTTTTATAAAAATGCATTTCGCATTGTTTCAGTGTAGATTCGCATTCTTCTTTTATGTACTGGTATTTACAGTTTTCTGGACACACTGTCCTTGCCCATAATTAATTGCAGTGATAAACAAGTCTTTCATAGCTCCAGCCCTAAGTAATATCCCCAGTATAGTCAGGGTCATTTGCACTTGTGCATTCAATGACGGAACTAGTAAACAACTTTAATTAAAAATTCAAAACCTTGATAAATGGCCTAATTTATGAATTGACGCAAAGTAGTGGCCAATTGCAAAAACTGATATGTTATGAAATAGACACTGAAGCAGTTTTAAAAAAACATACCGGTATAAGGATTAATGATAAACATTTGAAAAACTTTCTTTAATTAATTTCAGTTTAGTGTACCGGTACAGAGCATCAAGTGGCATATATGCATAGGAATTTAATGTCAACATTTCATATTGCAACTTGCATATATTTTCTATTTACTTTCAAATATTTTGAGCCCATCCAAAAAATGATGTATATATGAAAGTGTTTATGTAAATATGAAGCTTGAAGAAAAAAAAAATGGACAAACATGCATAAATCTGTCAGACACAAAATTGACATTAAAATGTGTAATTCTCTGACGCCTGACTCATCCCAGTAAAGTTATGGTCGATTTCATACAAAATGGAGGCCGGGGGTCATTAGGGAGACAAAAACAACAATTAAAATGAAGGAGTACTAATTGGACCTTCAGTAAATGTACTTGTAACTCATGAAGATTGTACATGTACGTGTACTATAGACTTCAGCAATTGCATTATAATATACATGGAACAATATATTTAAGGATTCTTTTCTTTAAATTTTAGTTCAGTTCAATTCAGTTCAGTTCAGTTCAGTTTATTTCCACAGTAACAAAATATCAATGACAATATAGCAATATGTTTTGCCTTCACAAAAGTTATTGTAAAGGCATTGTACACTTGTCGGACACAAGAGAACAAGAGAGAACGGAGAGAGAACAAATTCCCCAGCCAGTAGGCTGGGCTACCACTTTTTACTGAGACTGAAAGTGGGTTCGAGTCCCACCCGATAAGGCTCGTGAATTTTTCTAACAAGGCCTGATACACACAGCACCAAGTACACATGCAGGCAAAGCCTATACAAAATTTCATCCCTCTGATGCAAAATTCCGTCTTGCTAGATATAATTCTTTAACAAACAGCCACCAGAAACTAGATTTTCTAAATGCACGGCCCTAATTATTTTGCGCGGCACGGCCCAAGCCTGTTTTTCTGGACCGAGCTGGAAATGTCAGGGTTGAACGAACGGCCAGTATTCAGTTGTTCGTTTCCAGTGCTATTTTTGGGCTGGATAGAGTCGGGGATAAATAATCATGTCTACCAGGTCCAGCCATTATTATATTGAAGGGAAACATTTTTTCCAAGGTTCATTAAAATATATATTTGGTGGGGGGGGGGGGGGGGATGGGGGAAGGACGTGGGGAAGAAGGAGGGGTGATATTTTTCCTTTTTGTGTAATTAAGAATTGATAACAGTACACAATAATATGATCTATTTGAATTTCTTGTTTTGGGTTGACAAATTTAAAGTCTATATTTTGCAAAAGAATAGCAATTTCCTTGTGTGAACAAAACTGAAGGGAAAACAAATTAAAACATATGATCAGCGGATATAAAATTGATGAAGTGCCATTACACCTGAAAGTCACGTGTAAAGCCCAATTTGATTTGAATGGGAAAACAGGTGGGAAATAAATACGGACCCAGCTAACACATCACGTTGCCACAACGTTGTGCAAAGTTGTGAAAATGTTGTCATTTGGTAACGTGTCACGATGACATTCAAGCAACGTTGACACAACGTTTGACTGTATAATTGTTGGTTGTAAACATGTTGTATATTGGTAATTTGTACAACGTTGTACGAAAGTCATCATATGACATTGTATTGACGTTGTATGGTGGTCGTTTCACAATCGTTGTAATAAAGTAATAAATATGACGTTGTGGTTACGTTAAATGTAGGTGTTTTCATGACGTTGTTTTCAAGTTGTCAATGTTACGTTGTCAGAACGTTGTAATTTAGAATGTTTACAACGTTGCTGTGAGGTTATAATCATGACGTTGAGTTAACGTTCCATCTACATTATTTTATAACGTTTTTTTTTTCAGTTGTGAAAATCACATTGTCACGACGTTGTAGTTTAGTATTTCAAAACGTTGCGGTGATGTAAAAATCATGACGTTGTTGTAACATTGTACGTGGGTACTTTCACAACGTTGTTGGTATGTTGTTATTCTCACGTTGTCATGACGTTGTAGATAACAATTTACACCATGTTGCTGTGTTCATGACGTTATGATGACGTTGCATAAAAGTCTCACCATAATGGTGTTGTTAAGTTGTAAATATCATGTTGTCGTGACATTGCAGTTTGGTATTTTCATGTTGTGTTATGTTGAGAGCTCACGTTGCTGTAACGTTTTATAAAGGTGTTTTGACACTGATTTTAAGTTGCAATTATGCTGTGCGTTACGATCCATGCTGTTGTGGTATTGACAAAAACATTGTGATTACGATTTACTGAATGTGAAGTGAACATAATATGTTTTAATTAATGATGTTTTATTTGATAATAATAATCATTTGGGTGCCGCCTTGCATTAATAATGTAACTCATGAAATTTCGAACATCATCATGTTTGTTTTGTCGTAGTAGGAATATAATGTTTCCAGATATTTTTCTAATGGTCTAAGATGGATGAGATCGTGGTCAAAGCGCGACTGCTTCCCGCTCATATTCATTGTTGAATACTCAATGTATACATGTGCTTTATTGCACACACACGTAACTAGAAATATGATTCCTGTTCTCAAAGAAAATATTACCATGGCGCACGCGCATCAGCAGAAATTCCACGTCCAGACCGCGTGATAGCTTATTTGAATTGCTCTGCTCAGTCGAGTCAGCAATCGAGCAGCAGCAGCTCACTATAACGGTCGCCGACTCGCCGTCCAGTTGATGTGAAGTAGCCATGGTCGCCAAGCAAGTTATTTTCACTACAGCATTTCTTAGAAGGTAGGAATGAAATTTTCTGTATCTTGACTTCATTCTTGTGTCGAACACATTGTCTAAAAATCTGATGAAAGGATCAAATTAAAGTAAAACAACTTTTCGAACAAAGTCGCTGTCAAAAAATGAAGATTTTCCTATGCCTATCATCTTTGTTTTTTTTTTTAAATAATTGTTGAAAATGTTCTTCAGACTCGATCAGAATAAATGTAGATTAATTAAGAGTGAAAAAACGTGCCTCAATTGAAATTGGAGGCTGGTCAATGCGAACAGTTTTGGAGATCATACACTGAAAGAAACGTTCAAGTCATCTGGTTTTCAATTTGATAATAAAATCTTGGTATTATTCCAAGGAAATATTATACATGTGGATCAGATTTACTCGAATTCATGTTAGACCTTTTTAACAACGTTTTAGGTTGGAAAGTTATTTGTTCGATAGTTATAATTTTACATAAAACAGATATTGTTTTAGCAAATGGCAAAAATGGCAAAAGTGTATACATTATATCGAGAAGACTTTTGATTTGTGTACTAGTATAGTATATGCCTATTTTTGTATTTTTTCCTTCAAATTGATGAATTAATCAAAATGTAAAAATATTGTATTGAGATACCCATAATACCCGAGCCAGCAACCGTGAAAATGTTACCTGGGGTATCTCTTAATTTATAGATCTGAGTTGATTTTCTCTCAACTAAAACTAGCGCAAATTTGAGCATAAACAGTCCGTTATAAAATTCCCGCTCAAAGACACAGTGTACGGTTGTAATAGCAACGCGCATTAGCATTTTAGTCTCAAGGGTCAGGCCTAAAGTTCACGTACCAGGACCGTACACGTAATAAAACGGTCATCTGGCTTTCGTTGGCTTGTACATAACAAGTGTATACAGTTTCAATCCGGGCTTTCGGGCCGTATAGCTCCCAGGGTTTGGCGTGATTTATGGGAGTTTGACCAAAGTGTGTGGAGTAGGGTTGAGGGCCAGGTCAGCACTGTTACAAGATCAATGAAAAATACGCGAACTATTAAAAGCCTTTTCTAAAAAGGGTCATTTGTAGACTAGTTTTATTATTTATGTGGGTTGAAGAGCACGCGGGGATCATATTTACACTGTGTTCAAACTTGATTAATTTTATATATTTCTCAACCTTAAAAAACATCGTTACTTTCTCCAGGTAGGCAGTACACATGTATGCTATACGTGAGTGCACTGGCAGCAGGATGTGGCATGTTTAAACTTTTAACTTCAGCAGTCTTCGAGGGAGGAAGTTTCTAATTATTTTGAAAACCACCCCATACATCTCTTCACTTTTGTTGCTGTAAGTAATTCAACATACACTGACCTTCTATATACATGTTCTGTAAGATGGTGAAATTAACTTTTAAAATGTGTTGAAAATACACCTTGGTCGAAATTTGTTAAGTGATTACCTGACGTTCACCAGACACCTATATTAATTCAATTTATGTATTCATGAAATTTATCTATACTATAAAATTCAAGACCGTGAACCCATTGCATGCATATCCAAATCCTTCCAACTCAAAATGTTCATACTAGCACGTCCGCCTTAACAAAGTCATTCTTGTCGAGTCATGCGCCAGAAAAGATGCGTGCCCAATGCTCTCTAAAAATAACCAAAAAACCCCCACACATTTTGCGTGAACCTCCCCGGCGAGAGCTGATTAATTTTTTAGCAGGTATTAACTTGAATGTTGTGAAAAAATGCAATGAAGTTTATAATTTTTATCGTTAGATGTCTTTCAAAAATAATAACTTGTATTTCGCAGGAAAATAGCAGTTGAAAAAAAGTAAATAAACTTTCGGAGTGAAACTCGAAAGTAGCGTAGGCAACGGATCTTTAATCAAAATAATTATGAATCAAATTAGGTTTTGCCCTTCACCGACGTATAAACACTGTGTACCCAGTGTGTATTCGCATAAAATAATTATGCGCATATCAAAACTGCAACTGGACGGTTCTTCTTAACATTTAATGAAATTGTTTCGTGTGGAATTTAAATAACTTTTAAAAAGCTTGAGCTCTTTGGTAATTAAATATTTTCTGTATTATATTCAGGTACCTGCATGACATGACTTCGCATGAGCTTTTAGAAATGGCAGCCGATTGTGCTTGGTTATCCAGAAGGGCCAAGATTCAAGGTACGTGTATTAAGAAACTAACCATCGCAGTCAATAAATTGATTGGTCCAAAGGTATCAGCGACAAACACCTTAAATACACTTCTGAAACGAGCACCATATACCTAATGCAATGCCGACTACCAAGACCATAAACTTGCGGAAGAACCAACATTTTGATCGTTACGTATTACATTTGAACATGAAGTTGTTTAGATTACATAAAAATGCGTAAAACAGGCTTGCGCTTTAACTCTCAACAAGGGTTTTTGGTTACCCTTTAAATTTGAGAAATATCCTTGACTTCAGGGTCAACTTGAAACAAGAGGCTCATTTATTTTATCCCTGTCTCTCGTGGGTTAAAGATTGTACATGTAGAAACACAGGCACAGCTCTGCTTGAAGTACATGTATTGAGAAGACAGACATTATCTGGATATACATGTAGTTTTAAATTTCACATCTGGTGAGCCAGCGTGACACGCAGTGAGTGTTTTAGGCCTGAGGCAGCAAACATTAAATGGTTCATAATGTTTAAATAATTGATACATTGTTTTTTGTTTTCCTTATTTTCTTGTCAGATTCGTGTCTTTGGAGAAGTGCCATATTGACAATTAACCTTGCTGAACAAGGAATCCACTTACTTCTACATCTGGATAATCTTCTGTTAAAGGTTCCATTAAATGAATGTTACTCTAAAACATAGATTGGGCAATTAGCCAATCTTAATGGAGGTATTCAAAGAAAATCATGTTGAAATGTCAATATTTTAAAATGCAGGTTTTTTGCGAGTTCCCTGCATACAAATATATCTTCACGAACAAACGCTATTCAAGTATCCCTTTCAAGTGTAATTCTTTTTCATAGACTCTGTAGCTACAAAAAAACCAAAACAATTCCTTTGAGTTTTCTTTTGAAGATGTTCCATGGGAGAGAAAGAAAATGAAGGATCTAGATAGAGGACAGATTTAAAAAGCATGTGATTCAGTAGATTAAAAGTTGTCTGATCTATTTTATTTGTTCGATGTGAAAGTCGCCTTCCTATACTATATTTCTCATCACGGACAGTGGAAAATACTAATTTTCAAATACTATTTGAAACCATTCTTTTGCCTGAATGTACGTTACGTATAGCACTGTGTATTTTTCATGAATTGATCCAATACATGAATAGGTATTCTCTAGTGTCGGTAACATTGTGATATGGTACCCCTCTGAAGGTGATGTATAAAACCGGTTAGTGGTTAGTGGGTCGACGATAATAGCCCTTGCATTCCGGCTCTGGCTATATTATTGGTGACCAGACCCTTTATCTTCTAATTGCTCAGTAACAACGTTATTGTCTTGTTAAAAGGTTGGTTCATACTCTGTGAAGTTACCGCAATTCACTTTGTGAAGTTACGGCAATCATTAACGCCAGCGCTAAAAATTCTGGGGAAAAAAGAGTGAACCACATTTAACTCTGGGCAATTTTGAGTCAAATGGTTTCGATGTCAACATTTCAAAATTTGCTTTCACTTGAAGTATGAACCGATCGTTAGAGCTCAGCCCATTCACTAAGGCGTGCATTCCGTAATGTGGATTCAAGTAAAAGACTTTAATTGTATACCATTCACGAAATGGACCCTGTAGTAATATGTGCATATTGATGTGTCCAAATAATTGCAGTGAGTATTAATTACACTTACCGTTTTAGTGATTGCATTTTAGTAATGTTTTTACATGCTGTTGTTTCTGAACACTTGTTGTAATAAAATTAGAGAAACATGAATTACATGTATGTTTAATTGTTTTGTTATCGTTTTCAGAAACATTTCTCCATAAATGCCCAGTAGGCTGCAGTAAGTTGGCCACCATGTTGCAGCAACATGTCCATTAAGTTGTAGTAACGTGTCCACAAAGTTGCAGCAACGTACCTTGAAAGTTGCAGAAACGTCCCATTTAGCTGCAATAACGTGCCCGCAAAGTTGCAGCAATGTCCTCAAAAAGTTGCAGTAACGTCCCCATAAAGTTGCAGTAACGTGCCCATAAAGTTGCTTAAACGTGTCCAATACGTTGCTTTAACGTGTACAATAAGTTGCATCAACGTGTCCAGTAAGTTGCAGTGACGTCCCAAATTAGGTTGCAGTAACGTGCTAATGAAGTGGTAATCATGTCGCCAAAAGGTTGTAGGAACGTGCGTAGAAGTTGCTGTTATGTGTCAATTTGGTCGCAAATAACGTGGCGTCAAGGTGGTAATCATGTGCAATCACGACCAAAAAAAGTTGTAATGTATGTTGCGTTTACGTTGTGGAAACGTCATTGTAACGTTGCGTGATAACGTTGTAGCAACGCGCACGCGAGTCAACATTTTTACGTTGCCGCAACGTCATTTTCCTCACGTGGCAACAACGAAAAACTGACCTTTTTGCAACGTTGTCACAACGTAAATGTGTTAGCTGGGGATACAATTAATTGATGTTCTGTCCACGTACCCATTACTTGTACTCCATAAAGGCAATATTAATGAGAAATCCAGAAGGATGTACTGTTATTCAACCATGAACGATGAATTGCATGTAGAAATGGGAACAGTAGGATATATGATTATGAACGTATTTGATGTGCATGCACGCATTGAAAGTAAACAGGAATGATAACTACAGGAAATTCTGAGTTGGGAGTCTTTTGCAACATAACGATGAAGCGTAGTGGACAGAGTTGAAAAACAGAGTTCATAAGTCTTGCGGAAACAATTTTTTTTTTTGACGGCATCTATTTTATGTGATGATCAACTTTTGGAATGTTCTACTACAAAATGTGCTTTGAACGAAATGATGTTAATCGGAAAGAATATTTAATAGTAGGCTTTAAACATCCACACAATTATCCTTTAAAAACTGGGCGTTTTTTGTGTGTTATTCCTGTATTATGCGTGCGAAAACGACTTTCGGGGTCCACATTTGCGACCCCAAAAAGTCAAGCTGTTTGGGTGCTAGTTGTGATTTCATCGGTAAAGTGTTTGCCTATTACGGACGTGTAAGAAACCACATTTTGTGCAGTGGTGATCGGTCACCGTGTGCTGTTCGCGAGCACGGTGCTGTATTGACACACACAAAGTGTACATGTATATCGTCGACAGAAGCGTCTTCGTACTGCGTCATGTCTGATGTAAACAACTGTTTTTTTGTTGTCTTTTCTCGGGCCGGAATGGTAAGACAGGTTGGTTCCTTTCAACCAGATGTTTGAAATAGGATAAGTAAACAATCCAAAACATGAAATTTTCGGGGATTTCAGGACCTACTGCCCCCCAAAAATATGTTAACGTGAATACATCAAATGTTTATTTAATACGGAATAATGAGGGCAATATGAAATTCAGTGGAACATGTTTCATATTGGTACAGTACTGTACAGTATATACATTCATCATAGAAAGTAGTCAAATTTTACAACTCTATTTCAAGAGAGGGCGCTATTCCAGTTTAAGATACATGCATCTGTCACCTTCATTCACCAGGAAGATTTATTGGACGTTCCGAATCCCAACAACAGAGGGCGCTGTTCATACATAACTACATTACATTCACACAAGGAGGAAATTGTCAGTATACATTTTCCAACTGTGTTTAATCAAGTTAAGATTAGAACAACGCCACATAAAATATAAATTTGCACATTTTGAGCCATCAATCAATAATATTGTATCATCATTCTCCAGAATTTTTAATATTCCGTGGTTATTTCACTTACCTTTGAGAACATCATGACAGTAATAGAGATGGATAGAGCATCACATTGTTCATGAAAGAGAACAGAAACAAAAATAATATTCATTAGTTCATCTCTTAATGAAAAAGGATATCCTTAGTCATTCTGCAATGTAGTCATGAATATGACAGCCTGTTGGGAGTTACAATGATGTAAAAATATTCCCTTTTAAAACAAATTGGAAAATAACAGAACATGACTAGATTGCTGGGTGTCTGCACTGCATTTCTGCAGCATATGCGCAGGCACACAAGTGTGCATTTTCATAATCTGTTTGACAGGATACATTATTTGAAGTGTTAAAACGAGTTCCCTGTGTTTTGTCACGTTGGAAGCGAGACTATATAAAGAGCAATTGTATTTTTTTAACTCTTCTGGCTTAAAAATGGTATAAGTATTAATGGTACATACTTGAGTGGCACACATGCCAAAATGGTGTAAATGACTAACAAATTACACATTTTACATACATGTTGGGAACCTTTCAAAATTCTTTAAAATCTTCACTTTGCATGAAACCTGTGCCACAGGCCAGCAAACCCCAAATGTAAAGGGATGCGTCTTTGTCAAGGAGTGACGTATCCAGGTTTTGGGTCCACTGGGAGGGGGTTTCTGAAAATTGGGTTTGTAAATATGGTGAAAGCGGGTGAGAGTAATGACTGGTACTATTACTACTAGACTAGTACTAAGGTTTGAGGTGCTGGCACTTTCGTTTTCTGAAAAAAAAAATGGCATGTCAATTCCCCCCCCCCCCCCCCCCCGACAAGCCATTGGGGGGGGGGGGGGGTTCCAAAACCCTTGACCCCCTGCTAGATGTGCCAATTATGTCCTTTGAAACCTCTTGGCGCAATTTGAAACTTTTTTACAAGTATATTACACGTTTTCCAGCATGCAAAAATACTATGGACAAAGATAGCACAAACCCTACAATGTTTGTTACATCCCGATATGGAGCCTGTCATTTCAATGGTCTTATTATTTGTCAAGTTAGTTAAAGCATGTGTAATGTTAGAATGTGATGTATTTACATCACTAACATAACATGTCACATCACTGACGTCAAACCTTGATTTACACGCAAATGTAGTGTGTACAGTACGTCAGATGTGTGTCGCGTGAGAAACATGATAGAAGTACAAGTACTTTTATGTATAGCATCTATCTAATGAACTCTAGGGGCCTTCAGGAATTTATGCATGCAAATATTGTAAAGTATTAAGTTTCGATGAAAGTTAGTCTGGTTAGAATTTAAGTCGCGAGACAAGGAAAAGCAGCCCTGGAAACCTCAACTCCAACCTTACATCTACCTCCTACCTATTTTTATAGTTCCTTCTTAATTTTTTTCACGAAACAGGAATTTTTTTTTTACTTCGAACTGATTAATGCACGCACACATCACACATGCTTGCCATTGCTCACAAGCAGGTGCTTTCACACAATCCTCACAATCACATTTTTCATATCACCAAACATTATGTGCAATAAGACATGATGTTTGCAGGAAGGGGGGGGGGGGGGGGGAGACTACCCGGACAAATTTTATTACAATCGATTCAACTGCTCTTTTAGGGTTTTACAGATGCTCCAAAGCAATTCCTGTTTCCTGTTTTTTTAAAGGGAAAATACAACATTTGCAAACATCAAAAAATAAAACTACCATATTACTTTGAAATACCTTACTGGACTGTTAGTGAATGACAGTCTAAAGCATCCTGTAAAATCATGGCACCTGGTATACTGTCATTTTCAAGAAAAGTGATATTTTGGTGTGAATTTCCAACACTGGTCAGCCGACTAGCGTTGGAAAAAACTGACTTTTTTCAAATACTGGCCCCAATTGACCATCATGATATTTAGTCTGCATTTGTTTGCAATCGATTTCACACCTATGAACGGGTACAAGCCAGCTAGACTGGTTCCCTGACCTTACATTTCCCCAACGTCTATAAAGTGCTCTGTTTCATCTTAAATGGAGTCAGGGAACGTGCCTACAGGAAAATGATTGTTTTTCTTGGTTTTTATAGCATCTACGAGCCAAAAACGTCAAAAAAGTTAGTGTAACAATATTTGCTATATATTACCAACCCCCAAAATCCATCCATTTCTGAAAATTAAAGCAAAAGCAAATGATGTATAT